CTGTTTGCCAAACATGAAAATACAAAAGTAGAGAAATTGAATTCTCGGATCAATTGAGCAATCTCCCCCCCCCCATTCTCGCATAAAGCGCCTTTTTTGTGCCCAAATAGAAAAAAGCAATTTTTTATGTGCTGCGAGAACAGTTTTTGATATTCAAATACAAGGCTAGAGCACCAACCCTGGTAATTCGCTTTGCTCGATCAGGCAATGGTCGCCCCAATAAAAATTTCCAAAAAAATTGAAATAAATTTGGATTTTTTTCTTTTTCAAAACTTTTCTCGACACTCATATAAAATAAACTTCAGTCGGTCAATTGGTTGCGTGATAGGAACATTAACCATCTACTTGCGTTTGCTGAACTTTTTCCGTAGCGTTTTACCGTTTTTGCTTGGGGGAGATAGCTCAATTGGTCATTACGGGGGGGGGGGGGGGGATTGCTCAATTGATCCGAATTCTCTGCCTAAAAATTTTGATGCAAATCTTCTTGAAAATAAATAATCCGTTTCATTCTGAAATGCCGAGTTTCAACAAAAAAGCAAATTTCAACAAAAAAAGCGGAAATATCATAAGTTTTAAACTGATCAAAAACTGGGTCTAGTCAATAGGCAAAATCTTAGCATGCATTCAATAATCCGAATCAAATGATCCGATTTTCTACAAGAAAATCGATAAAATTTCATTGACATTTTAGCTCATTCGGTTTCAATTTTATCTTTTGTCCTTTAAAAAGCCTTTAGCAAATAATTTAGTTAGCAGTAAGCTGGCTATAGAAATTGCGCCTTCGTTATTTGGTTATGCAATAACACTGGGGTCTTATGCGTTAAACGGCCCAAAATTAGTTAAATAGTCAGAAATTTTATTTCAAATTGAAAACACGTAATCAACATACAATTACTTCAGTTATTACATATTATACGAGCCAATCAGGATTAATCTCAGTATCAATCGAAATGGTTGACCTAGTTGCTCGAATTTGATTGGCTAATATTAGCCAATCAGGATCAGTTTCAGTTTTAGTTTTCATTTTGCTTCAATTTTGATTTTTGGGCCGTTTAACGCATAAGACCCTAACACTGATAGAAAACTATACACAGCAAACTTTCTGAAAAATTTAATGGCGATTTTGATTCTTGCTTTTTGATTCTTGCCTTATTCGATAACAAACAACATCCGCCGTCTTCTAGGGTCAAAACATGCACAATTTTGCGCCTGAAAGTCATATTTTGAGTCAGAAGTTGTTCGACTTCCTGTATGGATTCCAACTACTTCAGTGGAAGAAATCTGACATTCAGTTGTTTACTACAAACCACTTTTGAAAATGATTAAACTAGTCATTTTCGGCATTCTAATTTTGAATGCTTACTGCAAAGAACTCAAAACTTACAGCATACCATTTAAACCCCAAATTATGCAACCCGCAAAACCTCAAGCAAGCGCAACTATTCTTCAACCAGTGAAAACTGTTATTGGTAAACTTTTCGATTTCGTGTATCAAATTTTTGACCCCCCTCGTTACACAGTTGAGGCATGTCTGGAAAAATCACAGATAATGTCGGTCCATCAATGCATGAAGAGTCGTCTAGCCGAGCTGAAGAACAACTCGGAAAACGAAAACGACTTAGAAAAGTACTTGAAGGGAGAAAAGTTGCTCAATTGCTCTCATTCTGTGATCGTTGCCTATTCTGAAATGAATTTCAGCTCAAGCGATTCGAGTTTGTTCAAAAAAGCTGTGAAAAAATGTGCTGGAGAGCTCTAATTACTGAGTTAGAAGTCAGTCTTTTTTTATGAAAAAAAAAAGAATTTGCGAATCGTTGTCCATTTCTGGGTTGATATTATCATTATCAGATTATGAAGTACTTCTGAGTAACGATTTTCTTCTTTCGAAAATATTTTAGTGCAATGAGTTCAATTTAAATAATTCAATGACAAATGATTTCTAATGCTGTTGGTTGCACATTTTGAAGTCAACCTTTAAGACAACTGATCTTTTATTGTAAATTTGCCAATTGAATTCAAATCTGTTGTCGCTTTTTTCTTCGGCTCTTTGGGTGTTTTTCCTTTACTTCTTAAGTTATCAACCCTAAAAATAGTGTCTGCGGAGGCTGGATTTTTGTTGCAAAGTAGTTTGCTTCAATAAAGTAACCCCTGCCAAAATTGAGGCCCTCTTGTTGTTCCGACTTTCGATACGAAAGTAACGGAATATTTGTGCTCGGGGTGGGTTTTTTTCTTCAGACAACTTTCGACTTTTTAAATAGCCATTTTGGACGGCAATTTTTTTATATCATTCGAAAGCCATTGTTGTCCTGAGCTTAAATTTGAAAAGATATTTCACCTGGGATCTTTTTTCGTAAAATTATGAGGGTTTAAAGATTGCCATTTTGGCCATTTTGACCAATTTGGGACAATTAACGCGCGATATAATTCGCGCTATTAACGCGTAAGCGGAGATTTAATCCGTCTTATAAATCGTTCCAAATTGGTTGAACGAAGCTTATTCGCCATAATTGATTTGTTACAAGGAACGAAATCTATCTTTTTGTACTTGAAATGGCGTGTGGGGGGATGATTTTCATAAAAAATTTCAAATTTTAGAAAAAAAATTTTCATTTTATTTTATTTCATTTAATTTTTTATGTTATTACTGATGCTCCATAAACTTTAAAAGGCAGTCGGAACATTCAGGGCTTCGCCCTGATACGAGAAGTCTTGTTCTATTTGATTTGCTATGGTTTTGCCTCGTGGTTCTTATTTAAAATTGATTATTGAAACGTTAATATATCCTGCAAAATTTCTGCAAAATGTGGCGTTTTTTCAAATTTCCGAGATAGCAAGCTATATAATGTGCTATACTGCCTTAATTAGATGACAGATGTAATCGATTCTGAGATGTGTTTGCTTTGCTATTTCTTATAGAGTGATTTTAGATAGAGTACACCGATTGGGATCAATTGAGCAATCTCTCCTCCCCCCATTCTCGAGTATGGGGAGATAGCTCAATGGGTACTTGGGACATGTTTATCACCACTTGAAAAAATTTGAATGATATAAAATCATGAATCAGAGTCTCCAACGAATGTGGAACGCCAAATTTTGTAATACCAAAGCTCAAAAATGCAGCGAAGTAGAGAGAGAGAGAGAGGGGGGGGGGTTGTCACATCATATATTTTCGGCAGATAAGTTCGTGCAACTTCTTAGTCCAAATAATGATCCTATTAAAATACTGGTAAAACAATTAGTGTTTAAGACAATGCGTTTTCCATTCTTTCTAAAAGCGGTCTGGCTGCAAAAATTCAATTTTCACAATAAAAATTGGATAAAGCGACTCTTTTTCTGCAGTCACTTTCTTTGAAATTCGGAACAATAAAACACCGGGGCTAAATTACAATCGATGCTGAGAACACTAGTAGGCTATTGCAATTGATTTTATTTTTAACAAATAATTTTTGACGATTTTTGTAACATCGGAAAGATATTTATACCTTGAGCTCAAAAGCAAATCATTATATTTGACACTGGCAAGCTGAGATAGTTATTGCACATTTTCTACCAGTTTTTTTTGAACGGATAGCGTTTGTGGTGAATTAATTTGGTTCAGATATCATTGCAAATTGAATTGAGTCGAAGAACATAGTTATATTAATGTACTGACAGCGCCATCAATATCACTTTGCTATTCAGACAGCGTGGAAGATGAAGAGGGTCTTTTCTGTTATACACCCCCCACCCTAAATGAATAAATTTGGCAATTCAAATTTTGAGTTGAAATTGAAGGCGCGAAGCGAGTGAAACTAAATACCACTCGCGTGCAATTAGAAGCTGCTCGATTAGGAAACCTAGTGATAAATTTGACATATACTTTTGTTTCCTAATCGAACAGCTGCTAATTGCACGCGAGTGATATTTAATTTTTTGTTTCACTCGTTTTCGCGCTTTCAATTTCAACTCGAAATTTGAATTGTCAAATTTGTTCATTTAGGGGGGTATAACCCAAAAATACCCGATGAAAATTTTACATTCTGCGGGGAGTGTGATTTACTACTATGCGACGAAATTTTCAAGAAAATTTCGTCGCATGCTTTAAATTTTTTTTAATCTGTTTTAAATTTTTTTAAAACAGAGCAAGTTTTAAATTTTTTTAATCTGTTTTGTTTGAAACACTACTTAATATGGGTTAAATAGCAGTCGGAACATTCGCAGTTTGGTTCCATTGTCTCATTAATTAGATAGTTTAAGTTAATTTTAACTTTGCTTGTGTAAACGAAGTGCAAGCTTGCCTTAGTGGTAAGTTTTGATATCGCAGTTGTTCGGAGCAGAAAGTAATTCAAAATCTCGGCAATTTGCCTAAGAAGCTTTTTAAACTTATAAAATTTTCAAAGAAAAAACTCCGATGCAAAGAGAATCTGAAAAAAATTGCGATAACCCGTATCAAACTCACTTGGCGTTGCAGATATTACACTCGCGATAGCATATGTTACAATTGCAGATGGCATTGCAGACACTGGCATTGCAGATGTTGCATTTTTTTTCTCGTAAATAAATTTCACAGATTTCATTGCGTGACGTCATATGCATGCAGTACACGTGCATCCTGTTTCATTCGTTCAGGGGTCTATTAATACCTTTATGGATTCCTTAATGGTGTTTTTTCAATATAAACGCAGTAAAATGAAATTTCTTTGTGTTTATTTGTTTTCCTTTTTCAAAAGTTAGCTTTCAGTTTAATTTTTTTTTCAGCTCAGTTCCCGGTTTTTACGATCAAACGATGTCGCTTTGATGAATTTTATTCATAGAGGGTGAAAACACAAATTTGCTGAAAATTTTTGGCGGCAATCAGTCGAATAATATTCATTTTAACATTTGAAGCTATCTAGGTTTAATTTTGTTTTTTGTTACAGTGCTTTCTATAATTTCAAAATCTATCTTACGAGACACCTCTGCTTAGACTCATAACGATGAGTTATGTATCAAAGACAAATTGTTAGTTTTTTCTCTAATTTCAGTCGTGGGTTCCGGTCAGTAAGATCAACTTGGTTAAGTCCCTGATGAACCTGGTTGAGATTCTGATGAAACCCCACTTGGAAGAAGAGAACAAAAAGAGTGTCCGACAGTGGCTCATCAGCAACTTCCTCTTCGCTCTTACCTGGTCTGTCGCCGGATGTCTGGACCTGTCCAGTCGGGATAAATTTGACGAGAGATTCCGAGCTCTCATGAGTGGAAAAGGAGATGACGTCCCGGCGATTCCGAATGCCATCGGAAAGCTCGACATACCGTTCCCTGATAACGGAACTGTCTTTGAATATGTTTATGAGGTAGGAACATTTTATAACTGTGTTCAGAGAACAAATCTAACAACCCCAACTTTGTTCATAATTATGTGTTACCTGTATGTGTAGGGTTACATTGGATGCAGTTTTTTCTCTTACATTTCTGAGATCTACATATCTCAATAAATTTTTTTCTTCTCACATGTTATTTGTTACATGTCAAGTTAAGCTGGCGAGGCATTCGGCGTGCGCATTATACGTCATATTTGAAAATCCGTACTGTTAATTTCGTTTGAAGTGCTTTATTCTAGAATTTATTCTCACAGTTAGTTTTAAAACAGGAAAATGATGAAGATGAAGAGACTGTAGCTGAGGTTAAGACGCCCAGGTCTTCTAGGTCCACTCCTGAGGTGCCAAGATACCATAAACATTACCTTGCTACTTTTCGCATTTCATCCTATTTTTAGATTTCAATTAAAAGCCACTTCATAATTAGTAAAGATCAAAAGAACCACAAGTATGAAATACAGAACCATAACCAGATCTGCAATGAAAATGTGAAAATGAGTGATTTAGGGATATTTAATTTTGATGATACTCTTGAAAAAATTCTTCAGATCTGCATTCTGCCTAAACTTATCTTAGATACAGGCGCGGATCTAAGATTTTTTTCGAGGGATGGGGGGCAGTTCAGATTTAAACATAAAACTTAATCTACTTTTCTTTAAAAAAAGATAAAATGATTTTCTAAGCTTTGTCAAATTCTTTGAACGCAGCATGCAATTTTGTTGGGAAAACCGCCAAAAAAAATCAACTTTGTCCAAAAATTGCTGTTTTTGGTGCGTGCTACCCTTAAGTTTAGTGTATATTGGGTTGTATGGTTGTTCGACCAAAAGTGGATATCGTAAACTAGTAACATCCCTGAGAGGCTGGGGCGTCCCCCATAGATCCTCTACTGCTTAGATATAAATAACTTTCCTACCTTGCGAAAACCTTTCCCTCTCCATATTTAGAATAAAGGTCCTCTCATCACTTCAAATTAAGTTTATTTTTCAAACAGTGCAAAAACAAAGGCAGATGGATGCACTGGAATGAAACTATCAGAAGCATCGAAGTCGGAGGTGCGGATTCGAACACCCCACTTCACGAAATACTGGTGCCGACTGTCGACACTGCAAGGGCCTCTTTCTTGGCAGACATCTGCATCAAAAACGACAAGTAATTTAAATTGAAATCTGTCTCCTCTTGATTTTTGAAAGACTAAAATAAAGATTTGAAATATAGTCGAAGAATGAACAAAAAAGCGCTTGTAGAAAAAGCTTTTTTTTTCACAAAAAAGTGCATTAAATTTCTGTTCGTAATTTCTATGTCACAGTTCAGATTTAATTTGTTATAATAATGAGTTACATGAAAAGTTAGTCAAAAAAGTTCATGATTTTTTTGCTAGATTCAAAAGGAGTAAATCTGATCTTAGCCAATTTTTAGACTAAGAATTCAGATAATAATTTAACTACCTTTGTTTTTTTTGCTTTTAGGCCATTGCTGTTTGTGGGTCCCACTGGAACTGGTAAATCTGTTTACGTGAAAGACAAACTTCTTAACGGATTGGACAAGGAACAGTACTTGCCTCTGTTCATCAACTTTTCTGCGCAGACAAGTGCAAATCAGACACAGGTGAACGAAGTTCTACTAGCTGAAAAATTGTACAGAATTTTAAACATTAAGGGCAGCTCTGATTAAGTTTTTTTTCGTGAAATGGGGGCGGGAGGGCGGCTTTTCAACAAAAAATTTCTTTCTTTTGTTATTACCAAGTTGACACACTGAGCTCTCCAGAAATTGAAAAAAAAACACAGCTTAAGGCAAAATGTGATAGATGTGGTGTGGTTGATAAGCGGCGCCACATTTTGCATGGTCCATGGTTCTGTTTTCACAAGATTTATAGACAAGTTTTTTACTAAAAATTCTCAATTTGTACTTCTGCTATTTTCATTATAAACATTTTTTTTTTTTCGTTTTTTTTTTCGACCATTTGAAAAATGGCGAGGAACTTTGTCTTGTGTTTTGGTTTTTTCTTTTTGTTTTTCACGCAAAATCAGGTACCAAAAAGAATCATCAGAATGGGTCGAATGATACATCATATTAAAGCACTTTCAGTCGTGATTTGAACAACATAAAAAAGTTTTGAATTTTTTTTCAGTGTTAAGAAAAACCGGTTTAAAATTTTTGATTTTTGGTCTAACTTCGAGCAAGTAACGTTCTTTATTTAAATAAAAACTGCTGGAAATTGGTCAATTGAGCTAAAACTTGATTTTATTTTTAAAAAATTACCTGTGAAAGTTTCATTGAGCGCTGCCTTGGCAATCAAAGTTTTCAAAAAGTTTCAAACATTATCGTGGATAAAAATTTGTTTATTTTTGTTTTTGTTTGTTTTTCATTTTTTGAAAATAATTGTTGTCAACTTTTCCAAAATATCTAATTTTATAAGCAGGGGCGGACCCCCCCCCCCCCCCCCTCAGGGATTCGACCCCCTGCCGACCCAAAGGGTCCCCCCTTTGATACTTTTTCAGAAATCCATTTTTGGCCGACCGACCCTAAAATTTTTCTAAAGGCGCCTTTGGCGCCAATATATACTAACTTTGAGGGGGAGCGCGCGCCAAAAAAACGCGATTTTTTTTGTCAAAATTTTTCAAAGTGCCCAAAAACGGCTTTTTTGACTGTTTTTTCAAAAATTTGCCTGCGGCGCAGAAAATTTAGCCCAAAATAGGGGCAAAAAAGTGCTTTGGGAGAGCTCGAAAAATCAATTTGCTCGACCTAAAAAAAAGGTCGTCAAAATTTTCGAATTTTTTTTGAAAATCCGCCCCCCCCTCGAGAAAATCCTAGATCCGCCCCTGCTTATAAGCGTTTTGATTGTTTTCTCATCACACCTCACACAAAAAAAAACGACACTAAATTGAAGAAAAAAAAATGTTTTTTTTTTATGAATGTGGTCGGAACATTCTGTGCTACATGCACAGCAACCGGCTATCCGTATTTATTTGATCGATTTTTTGCTCAAAAAATGTTTCATAGGATCTAATCATGACTAAGCTGGACAAGAGACGTCGAGGAATCTTCGGTCCCCCGATTGGCAAGAAGACTGTCATCTTCGTAGATGACTTGAACATGCCTCAGCTGGAGATCTACGGAGCTCAGCCTCCCATCGAGTTGCTCAGACAGTACTTCGACCACGGAAATTGGTAAGTTTGTGACTATTTATGCCAGGCAGTTGATACCTTTATTATGGAAAATGTAAGAAAAAAGATGATTTATTGTGGAACTAAATATTATTGCGAAAGTTTTTGAAACTAATGAAAAAAACTAGCAGATATTAAAAATGAACAAACAATAAAATGAAACAAATACTCTTTGTAAACTCATTTTTGCTCATGGAACATCAAGCTGATTTGTCTGCTGAATCTTTTCATAGGAAGGTATTCTAACGCAGACCAACTGCTTACGATTGAATTTGTTTATTTTCCGATTTTGTGTCTAGCCCTTTTCTCCAGTATACCAAAGCATCAGACTTTAAAGCATGGTCCTCAATTCTGATTATAACTTAATTGATATCCATAGGCACTCGCCAAGTTTGATCACAGCTACTTTTATTTTGTTCAGGTACGACAGAAAGGACTGTTCCAAACTGCAACTAGTGGAGATTCAGTTCGTGTCTGCCATGGGTCCCCCGGGCGGAGGCAGGAACCCAGTCACTGCCAGATTCCTCAGACACTTCAACATAGTGTCCATCAACCCATTCGCAGATGAAGCCATGACCAGGATCTTCACTAAACTCACAGACATCTACTTCAAGGTTGCCCGGAATTGTCAATCAATTTTGTTCCTTTTCTTCTTTTTATAACATGTATTTGAGGACTTTAAGTGATTGCGAACAACATTGAAGCATTCGAAAAATACTCGCATTTTTAAACTGTAACAATGAAAACTTTTTTTGTTCTAGAGAGAGGAATACTCGCCCGAGTGGCTCACTATCGGACACAGCATGGTGGCGGCCACTATGGAAGTTTACAAGCAGGCCATGGCCAACCTCCTCCCCACTCCTGCCAAATCTCACTATGTCTTCAACCTCAGGGATTTCTCCAGGTCAGTTTTACACATAAAAAACTGTTTTTTCTTTACAATCTGAAAACTTTGAAAAATATGCTGCGTAATCTGAAATCGATTTTGATGTACTAGTTCTGACATGTGACAAATAGTCAGTCGCTTTACACTTAAAAACGGGGAAAAGTTTTGATTTAGTACCAAAAAAGGCTTTCCGGTATCTTTCTTTTAAAAAATTTCTATGAGGTAGAAGATTTTGAAATCTTAAAAAAAAGATATTAGGCTCTACAGAGAACAACTGTGACAATATGAATAAGTTTTGAAGACTTTTAAAGACCTCCATAGCTTGAGCGGTTTCTCAGATACACATCTAAATATCATAAATATCAAATCATTACCATCTCATTGTACCACGGAGTATGAATTTAATTATATGTGAGTTGTTTAGCGCGAAAAGTTTTGAAGTGACGGGGGTAAGTTTAACAAAAAAATTTTCTTTTCAGGGTGATCAATGGAGTGTGCACAATAAAGAAACTGAGAGTGGATAATAACAAGAAGGTGTTCACCAGACTGTGGGTACATGAGGTGTTCAGGGTGTTCTATGACAGACTTATCGACGCTCAAGACACCGAATGGCTATTCGGGTAAGGAGACGAAATAAATATTCTCGCATGTTATAAATTAGTTTTTTAATTTTAGTGTTGTGCAGAAATTGTAATCTCACAAAAAAATTGTTAGATGTTGACTTTGCGTTTGATTATCAATGTAAGGATCAAAACTGATGTTATTTAACTTCATTCGTAACCTAAAAGAAGGTTTTTTAAACAAAAATAGCTGACTTAAGTTAGCTTAAAATTTAGTGTTGTGCAGATAAGTTTGAAAAATGTGTCTTCTCATAAAACATCGCACAAGTTTTAACAGGATTAGCCAGCCGCTGTGCAAGTTTTTCAAAAAAATCTTTTTTTTTCCATATTAAGACGATAAGTCTACATATTATACTATGCCGTCACAACTTATTGATCAGCCGCTCATTTGTTTTAAAATATAAAACTTTCATTGTTGAAATTAAGATGCTGAGTGTTCAGACATTTTACCTAGACTAATTTGAGTTTGAATAACAAAAAATTCAGTACAAGTTTTCTTGACACAGATGTTCTTTTGATATTTTTTCGAATTCGAGCAACAATTAATAGGTCTACATTAGGATACCACATTTTTCCACCTACAAGATTTCTTTGAGGTAATCAAAATCACACCATACGCCATAGTCTTCGTAAGTCGGAAGAATAAATCAGTCCCACTTTGTGAAATCCGTCTCACTTTGTGAAATTCGTCTCACTCATTTTAAAGTGCTGTTTGGGTTAATTAAAGTGGAAATCCAAGTAAACAACCCACAAGGGTTTCAAATATTCGTGATTTCTGCCTTGACCATGTTATAACTCATTTTAAGTTATGAAGTCATTTACCTGATGCTTCTATATCTGTTCTCGACGATGAAAACTTTTCAGTACATTACCCCGTTCTTTTAGACATTAATTTTAACTCCGGTGTTATTAACAAATTACAAGTGTTTGGAAGCTTTCCTGGATAACCAAGCAAAAGTTGCTGCTTTTTCCTCTTTCAAAGGAAAAATTAGAAAATTCGAAATTACCAGCTTTCAGAATTATTGATTGCGCATATCAAAGATTTCAAAAGTGTTGGGTCGCTTTTTCGGACGAATTCGCGCCCCTACAGTATCTGAAATATTTCCGTAAAACAAATTCAGATTGGTTTTTATAAAGAAATGAAGTGTACTATATGAAGAAAAAATAAAGTTAACAACGCTTGGAAGTTGGACAAAGCTAATTGTTCACATCTGTTTCTCTTTATTCAGGTTGACTCGAACCTTAGTCAAGGACATTTTCAAGGACTCGTTCGACAGTGTGTTCGAATGTGTGACGTCTGCAGGAGGCAGAGTGGACGAGGATGACATGCGGAGTCTGATGTTCGGCAACTACATGAACCCAGACGCGGAGGAGGAGGAGCGGTTCTACGAGGAGGTGACGTCATTGGACACTTTTAACAGTGTGGTAGAGCAGCAGTTGGAAGAGTACAACCAGGTCAACAAGACCAAAATGAATCTCGTCATTTTCAGGTAGCCAGCGATATCACAATTGCGGCCAATACTTAAACTTAGACCACTTAAATATCGTAGCCTCTGCTATAACATAACATGAGATTTCACTTTTTCCAAATTTAAATACAAATATGGTTCAGGTCAAAGCAAAATGGTAAAATTTGTGAAGTCAAAAAGAATTTGGTTCAAGTTTATTCAATTACTAAGTTGATTTATTACAATTTCTAAATTTTTCTTCAGAACGATTTGCCTCAAAATAGAACAATAAATTTAAATTTTGAAACCAGATATGTGCTGGAACATCTCTCGAGAATATCGCGAATCGTGAACCAGCCGGGTGGAAACGCACTTCTCGTCGGAGTTGGAGGCAGCGGTCGACAGTCTCTCACGCGACTCGCTGCTTTCATGTCTGGCATGGTCGTGTTCCAACCCGAAATCAGTAAGACATACGGGATGGTCGAGTGGCGAGACGACTTGAAAATCGTCCTGAAGTCGGCAGGTGCACAGGGAAAGCACACGGTGTTCTTAATCACAGATGCACAGATTAAGATGGAGTCTTTTTTGGAAGACGTGGACAATCTGCTAAACACAGGAGAGGTTCCTAACTTGTTCGCTCCCGATGAGAAACAAGAGATTTTGGAGGTAAATTCAAGAAAACATAGAAAGTAGTTATAGATATTGTAGATTCTTTGGATCTGTTAGTGTACGCATTTTTCGCAAAAAACAAGTATTATCGAAATAAGCAATCAATTAGTGGGATTTTGTTGGTCGAAATGGCGAAATTAACCGGAAGAATCTAAATTTTTTCTCTGAGTAAGTTCAGTTTCTCAGAAAGAGTTTTTCTGGATCAAGAGAATATAAAAACTTAAGAACGAAAAACTTAATCGATGCTAAAAGATTTGGCCCTTCCCTATCCCCCGCCCATATATCATTACCAGTTTGACGGTTTTATCCTTGATATCACGGAGAAATTAAAAATTGTATGGAGAAAAATTGTTCTCATTTTTCTATTTACTGTCATATAGAAATCATTACACATAGCGTGTATCTTCATCTCGCAATTTTTTTTGTTTCAATTACTTGATAATAACCAATGCCATGTTAGCTATGCCGCTCTCAATATAAACGGGAACAGATCGAGAAATCTAGGGATGAGGCTATGTCCAGGGCCCTATCTAGGTCCGCAACGGGGGTTTCAAACCCCAAATCCAGGATCAACACTGCCTCAAATGACAGGGGTCTAAGTGTCAACGAAGCCACCAATGTAACTAAATGGCATGAATGACCACAAAACTTTCATTCTTGTCATTTTTTGTTTGAAGCATTTGCTCGAAAAAATTGACGTTGCTAGAGTGCGTGTTTGGTTGTGTTAACGGTGTTGAAGTTCAGTTATTGCATAAATTTGATATTGTTTTCACGTTTTTGATTTCTGTTGTGTCTCATTTCTATGTTTTTCCCGGTTTTGTAATCACCAATGCATGTGCGTTTGTTGAACATGTTTTGTTTCATTACAATAAAATCAGAATGAACGATAAATTGAATATAATGATAAAATATCTATGAAGCTAGGTGTATTAATATTCGTTCCGAACATCGGCCGTCCGCAATGTGGTCATGCCAGTAGAAGCTAACAAAAAATTGAATACAATACATTAGTTTAAGAAAGCATTGGAGACGATGGCGCTGATTGCAACTAGTGGTGCAACATTAGTTCGAAAATAGCCTTTGAATGATCGCCAAAAACATTGGAACATTCGTCGAAAGTTCGAACATTTGGTATTTCTTTGGGTTTTTCAGTATTATTGAGAGAAAAAATTGACGATCAATGTTTAATTAAAAATTTTCCAGTTTTCATGCCGAATATTTTGCATGTTCACACGATCTTCAGCAGGTATTGCTCTTTTTTTTGGTAAAAACAACTCCAGCAGTGCTTAAAATACGCTCAGACGGGGTACTTGAGAAATACTTGTTATGCAGAAATACGTCTCGGACACTTAGTGTAAACAACTAAAAAATGCAGGACCGAATGTTCGCGGGAGCCTTTGAAGGATTTTCCTCGGACGAACGTTCGAACATTCGGTTGCACCACTAAGTGCGACATAATATCAAGAAGTTTATCTCAAAAAAATCATTCAGGTTTTGTTCAAATGCTAACTGTTTCATCCAGCCGAATATTGTTCAAAACTTTGGTCAGCTTATTTCTTCAGCTTATTCATTCTTATGTATTTTTCAGCTTGTCCGCCCTGCTGCTCAGGGTGGGGACAAGAATGCGGACTTCACCCCTTTGGCACTGTACAACTTCTTCGTGAACAGATGCAGACGCTTCCTGCATATCGTGATTGCATTCAGCCCCATCGGAGATGCATTCCGAAACAGACTCAGACAGTTCCCCTCACTCATCAACTGCTGTACCATTGACTGGTTCAAGGTCACTCATTGTTTTCTTATTCTCTCAGCGTCTCGATTAAAACATTCGAAAGCTATTATCATAAAATAAATGTGTTTTTGGTCCCAGAAAGTAAACGTGTAAGCAAAATGTTGTATAATAACTCCAATCAAGTCCAAAAACTAATACAAAGTCTTAATAGTTCACCATTTTCTTAAGCTCCAAATCCACGAAAATTCACAGTAAACTAATTGCTTAGTGTAATTTTTGTAAATTGCACGCGATCATAGTATATAACTGTTATGTTGATTAATCCTTTTTTCGTCCGTCTTCTAGGCCTGGCCAGAAGATGCTCTGGAGCGAGTGGCGTCCAAGTTCCTGGAGTCGGTGGAGTTGGGCGATGACGAGAGGGAGGAGATCATCAAGCTCTGCATGCTCTTCCACGTCTCATCGAAGGAACTGTCCGAAAGGTGGGTGGGTCCCAGTCAAATAAATAACTAATCGGAATAAAAAACAAAAATTGAATTATAAACAATTAGAAATTGAAAATATAATTTTATAAAACTTATTTACCAAAAAAACCAATAATAAACTATTGGGAATGGAAAATTCAAATAGAAAAAACTTTTCATCTCAGTATAAACTTTACTAGAAGAAACAGTGGGGGTCGATTGGTAGATCCCTTTGTTTCAATTAGTAACTAGCATTTTAAGTCTCGGTTCAATTATATCATAGTCGATCTGATCCTAGAGTTAAAATGATATTTATATAAACAGACAAATTAAAAAGGGATGATTAAATAGAAAATATTAAATGTTATGCACAACTGTTCAGCTATTGTTAACTTAAAACAATAGGAGATTTTTATTTTAATAATTTATTACTTTTCTGTCTTACAATACTTTGCTGGGAGATAGTGGAGAGAAGGTGGGGAGAAGTTGTTGTCCGATGCTCGCCGAGAAAAGGGTACACTGCAATGCTCACTCTCCGTTGAGAACTTGTCTGACACTCGGGTGGTTGCTCTTCGTGTCCGTTTCGGATTGTTTAATTTAACTTAAATAGTTTTACTTAAACTGTTCAAGTTTTGAGTGACTTTACTAAAAAGGAAAATTACTATAAAAACATTTAAGCTTTATTTTTAAAAGGAAGAAATAAGAGAAAAATGAGAATATTTCAGCCGTCTGTTTTAGCGTTAGAAATAAGATTCACTGAAAAGTGCAGGCAGGCTCATCATTACGAGGCCCAACTGTGCACTAGATAGGCGCACAATTTTGTGTCTGTATGTTCCTGGATTCAAGAGTCAAGTTTTTAAACATGTTAACAATTTGTCGGAACGACCAAAGGAAAGTAAAGAACAAAAGAAGAACAAAGGGAGCGTCCTTGTTTCGGAATCCGTTTACAATGCACAAAATGCACAGTTTGGCCTCGTAATGATCCGAAGTAATTTTATTTTCGTTTTCCTTGCACCTGCAATTAGGCTTCAGTCCTCTTTTAATCTCTTATCCTCCGTTTGACCAGGAGACAGACATTTGCATTTTTTTTTTAAATCCAATATTTAGTTTAACTGAGGGAACTCAGAATATTTCCACCTGCTTTAGTTACTTTAAAGTTCAGAGCAGTGGGATGTTCATCTTTTTTTCAAAGCCAAAACAATTAACACACTCCGCTTGACTGGTGTCGTGGATAAATACTCAGTTGCCTCGTTCATCAGTTAAACTGTATTAAAAATCTTTGCCTTTTTCCAAGGTTAATAAAGCTGAAAGAATTTTAAAAATCTGTTTAGAATTCGAAAAGATAGATATTTGTATTTGACTTTTAAAGTTTTAGGTTAAGTTGTTCAGTCGAAATCTGAATCAAAAGTTAAGTTGAAAAGGCGTTCTTATTTTTAAGATGTGAACGAATTTAGAATAGAAAAGAGTCCACTCAGATCTTATGTAAACATTTAAAACAATAGCCTTTTATATATGTGTAGTATTTCCAATATGACAAAACACTTGTTCTATAAAAGCTTTTCATGACAATTGTTGTGATGAAATGACCAACAAAATAAAATGACAAAAAAAAGCCAAACAAAATTCAAATTCGAGCCTTAAAAGTAGTGCATAGTCATTAGCCATTCAGCATCACTCAGTAAAACATGTTAATTCGCAAAAATAGGATGAGAAATCCTTGGCACTATACAAATCTATCAACTATACAAATCTATCAAAAAAATCAGCAGCGTGTAATTTGTTCGTTTTAATTAATATTCCATAGATGCTTTTTCAATGCTTAGCATTATCAAGTCAAGGTAAAAAATCTGTTATTCTTAACCAAGAAGTATTCAAAAACTTTAATCACTTTTTGCAAAAGTAGGACATCAATTGGCTGCGAGGATTAAATCATCAAAAACGGTTTCTTCAATTTTTGTTCATCTTAAAACAAGCAAAAAAAGTCTCCATGATTTTCCGTAAACTTCATTTAGAATAGAAAAGTGATTACCTTTGTCGTAAAAAATATAGAACTGAAAAAAATAAACAAAGTTAATTAGATTTCTGTAAGAACTGAATAACACATTTTTGCTTAAAACGTTTACACAGACTGTCTTGTTTTAGCCGATGTACCACCAGTTCATAAAAATGCAACTGGGAGTGAACCAGATAACTAGAGGCTAATATCTATGAACGAAATTGAAGAACGACTCCACAAACGCATTTTTGAGTTCTTTGATAAACATGGTTTTTTGATTACACCAGTTTGGGTTCAGACTTGAAATGTCAGCAATAGATGCTTCGCAAATTTTCATGGAACACATACAAAATGACTAGGAATTGTACCCCAAAGCAACACTTGCTATTTTCATAAGTCTCAAAAAGCGTTTGATACTGTTTCACATTAGACACTTCTTCAAAAAAGTGAAAACTACAGACTACGAAGTTCCATCCAAGCATTGCTGAAATCATAATTGACAGCTAGATTGCAAGTAGTCAAAGTAGGCTTTAAGTTTTCACATTTGAATATTTTTCATTGTGGTGTTTCTCAGGGATTGATAAGTCCTCCTGCCACTACTGTTGACATTCATGATCAATTGATTTACCGGTCACTGCAAACTCAGGGAAGACTTTTTTCCGCTGATGATACAGCAGTAAGTTAAAATGAACAAAAATCAACCCATTGCATTGAAGACTTAGCTAAAATAGAAATTTGATAAAAAAATCAGTTGGCTAACTTTGAGTCTAGATAGAATATTAAACATAAAATTTCATCAGAAAACAAATATCTGCGAAACGAAAACGAAATTGGGAACTGGAATTATTAACACAGGCATATATTAAATTTTGCGACATGCATTCAAAGTTCATATTGACTTGTTTCAAAAATTTTATTATTTAGTTGGATTTGCGTTACAGATCTTGTGATGTACTAATAACAACACAAACTATTAAAACTTATTTGAGTCACTATCGGCCAATACTGCAGTAGGGGGTTGTAGTGTACGGTATATCTAATAAAATTTTACTTCAAAAACTCAAACTGAAACAAAATTAGGCTGTTAAAATACTTTTAAGCAAACGAAGATTTCAGTCTGTCATATCTTTTTAGGAAATCTAATTAGTAGGCTTTACTTATAAAGTAGGGTTTATTTAAAGAGTTGCGCATATTCGGGCTTTTCAAAACATTCGTTTAGCTTTTATCTTCAAACAAAGATCTGAAGACCGAATTATTAAAAAAAATTCAATTTTGAATTGATGATTGAGAAATTTGAACACAAAATTGTTTAAAAAATCAAACCATCGAAGACTTCTACTGGCAAAAGTCCTGAATGAGTAGGTGTACAGATAAGAAGTTAGTTTAAATTATTACTAATTTTCAGCAATTTTTGTTGACACAATGAGTAATTTTAAAAAATCATTGAAAAACGTATACCTTTTTTTGCGATTTTGACAACACAAATAATAGGGAACAGATAGATTTCTGCACCTAGATAGATTTCTGAACTTCTTAGTACCTAGAGGGTTTGAAATTGTGCTGCTTTTCAAGGCATCACTCGACGAGGCCTATCTGGCCTTTTGATGTCTTTAGATATCAGAATCGTGTAAATTGGCAAATGTCTGTTGAATAATCTTTGAAATGAAAACAATTTATCACTATGATTGTTATTTGTTCCAATTTACAAAGAAATTGACAAAAATTTTGTGCTCGGGTTGGTTTTTTGTTCAGAGGAACTTTGAATTCTTTCTAGTTTTTTTTGCCGGGAGTTTTTATATCACTTTGAAGGTTTTGTTGTTCTGAGTTTAAATGTAAAAAGATATTTTAACTGTGGTTATTTTTCGTAAACATATGGGGATTTTAAAACTTCTAGTTTTTGATTAACACCGTGGGATATATTTTTGCAATTAACGAGCGAGCGGAGTTTTTATTAGACTTAGAACTCTTCCAAATTGAATTGAGGCATACTAATTGTTGTATTCTATACTTGGCTATATGCGAAATATATCATTTTGTAATCTAAATAGCGTGTGGGTTATGATTTGCAAAAAATCTCCAAATAAATTTAAATTTTTTTTGTGGAAAATTTCATCAATTTTTTTTCTAAGTAAAAAGTACTCTTTAGACATTAAAAGGCAGTCCAGTCGGAGCATTCAGGGCTTCGCCTTGATACGAGCAGTCTTGTTTACTTCTTGTTTGAGTTAGCCATAAACGATGTTAACCAAGAGAGCTTATCCAGGTACCTGACTGAGCTGGGTAGATACAACTATGTGACACCCACATCATACTTGGAGTTGATCATGGCCTTCAAAGGACTGTTGGGTAAGAAGCGGGACGAAATATCCAAGGCCAAGAAGCGATACGTGGTCGGACTGGAGAAACTCGCTTTCGCTGCTGATCAGGTATGTGATTCATCAGTGCTATTCGAAGCCCTAGGAAGGAAATGCCTCAAATTCAAAAACATAACTGATTGTATCAAGAATTGCGTGTGAATAAAAGATTCGAAAGCAAAGTTTAGAGAAGTTTTCATATACTTTGAGTTTAAATTCGTATAACATTTTGATTGGGATATATCAGGACAATGCAGATTCAAATGCCCATTGATGAATAAATTTATGAATCACAAAGGAAAAGCAAGTATCAAAAATTGGTCCTGCAATCTTTGTGATGAGGGAAAAAATCTTTTAGAAAAATTAAATATAGTATAGATGATGCTTCCGAACATTATAAATTGCTGTATTTAGTTCATGAGGGAGTCGTCTAAATTTCAGAGACCTACTCACTTAATTGCACCTAAATTTTAGAGCCAAAAAAATCAACGTGACTATTTTATTTTTCAGAAATTATTCTTAACAATTAGTCAATATTTTGAAGTCAACAAATCCTACGTTTTATCATGAACCTCTTCAAAGGTTATTTAGTAGAAACTCCTGATGATAATGATGATGATTCTGAGTTTGTTACATAACAGGTGGCGGAGATGCAGAAGAACTTGACGGCGTTGAAGCCGCAGCTGGAGGAGACTACGAAGGAGACGATTAAGATGATGGAGGTCACAGAAAGGGAGTCGATCGAGGCGGAGAAGAAGAGTGCCGTGGTGGCCGAGGAGGAAAAGGTACATTTTTGGCATATTGACGGGTGAACTGTTTTGAACCTCTTTGGCTATTGAGGGGCGATGAAAAAGTCTTATAGTTATGAAACTATCTTTGAACAAAATTTAGAGTGAAGTACTTGAGGTAAAAGTTTAGCTGGATTTTGTTTCACTCTTCTGTTTTTTGCTCAGGTTGCGACAGAGCAGAGTGAGCAGGCACAGGGTCTGAAGGAGGAGTGTGAGAATGACCTGGCAGAGGCCATACCCGCCCTAGAGGAGGCCATGAGGGCACTGGACACCCTTAAGGTACATCATTGAATATTTTTTGATGGGTATTTGACTTGTTAGGCCGAGAATGCTTAGGCTTACAATGGATTATTGTTTATATCTGGTTCAAATTTTTGTCTTTTCAAAAAAAAGATTTCTCAAAAAAGAAGTTTTCTCATTTTGTAGCCTTCTGACATCACCATTGTGAAGTCCATGAAAAACCCTCCTGCTGGAGTGAAGTTGGTCATGGAAGCAGTCTGTGTCATGAAGGACATCAAGCCAGACAAGATAAATGACCCTTCCGGCAGTGGACAAAAGGTTATGGACTACTGGGGTCCCTCTAAGAAACTCCTGGGAGACATGAACTTCCTCAATGAGCTGAAGACGTATGATAAGGATAACATTCCGGTGGCTGTGATGACAAAAGTCAGGAAAGACTATATGCCCAATCCAGATTTTGTTCCAGAGAAAGTACTGAAGGCGTCCAGCGCGGCTGAAGGGCTGTGCAGATGGGTAAGCTTGCACTGATATTCGGATATCAAATTATTAAGAAAAAAGTTAATGCTATTTATCTGCTGATTTTCAGCCATCCTTTTATTCAACCTTTTAACCATCCAGGGAATTGGACTGAATTAGCCAATTCACTTTCTTGGCAGTTTTAATCTGTTTACCTAACACTTCAGCTGACATTCAAATCATGAAATATTCATATCGTATCTATGACTCTTCTTCTAGATCCGTGCGATGGAGGTGTACGACAGGACTGCCAAATATGTGGCCCCCAAGAAAGCCAAACTGGCAGAGGCTGAACAGGAGGTGGCAGTGGTCATGGCCTCCCTTAACGCCAAACGCACTGAGCTCAAGAACGTCCAGGCAAGTAGTTGATTAAAAGTAACAATCCAAGCTCAAAATTATTGGCAGCCATATCAATAATTCTATTTTTTCTGATCTGATGCAGTGCTGATTGTTTTAAATCAGCACTGTTTGTATAGTTTGCATTCATTCAGGGAATCGGTTCGTTTTAATTAGTTTTAGCAGCCAAACTAAATTGTTTCAAATAGAAATGTTTTTGTAGAAAAGTGTTCCGAAAGTTCTCAAAGGTTCATATAGAGAAATACACTCTTTCAAAGTGTTCATGGAACCACCATCTGCTGAATATTTTCCCAATTTTTCCATCATTTAGAAAGAGATGTAAATGTTCGCATTGTTGATTTCTAGGACCGCCTGGCCTCTCTGAAGCAGCAGCTGAATGACTCACAGGACAAGAAGGACAACTTGGAGTTTGAAGTGGATCTGTGCGGGAAGAAACTCACGAGAGCAGAGAAACTCATCGGGGGTCTGGGAGGCGAAAAAGACAGGTGAGAGTTGTTGTTATTTGATTTTTTATGTTGAGTCTAATTAAAAGAACCACTACAAAAAGAAATTTCCGTCTCTATTTCCCGATTTGACTTATTATAAAATCGCCTTAATGAAATCGAATGAAATACTTTTTCTGAGTCTAATGAAATTCTGGTTTAAGAGTCGATGAACGTAGTTCAGGCTCTGATTGAGGTCGTGATGATTTTTTTTCAGGAAAAATTTGTTCAGGCTCAAGTTTACTTTTTCGCGGTTTGATTTCTTTTTAAGGTCCCTTCTATTACTTTTTTAAAGGAATGCAAACTCCAGTATTGAACAGTTAAAGTGTAAAGGTCAAGAAACACGTGGCCGACTTCTAACTTCGAAATTAAATTATCAGGTTTCCCAGCGAAATAGAAACTTTATCTATTGATCAAGTTTTCTCAAATTGGGTTCATTTTATCAAAAAAGTGTCAATCATAAATTGTTCTAGAAATTCCAAAAGCTTTAAAGCCATATATTTTTTTCTTGGAAATTCAAAAGTTGCGGAGATTTTTTAAAAAGAAAAACAAATCAGTATTTTTTTCTATTTACTTGCTTTCATTGACTTTTTTTTCCAAATATCAGTTGACTGTGTTCTATTTTCTGGGTAACAAGGACAATTTTGCGATAGTTCTCAGAGTTTCATACATTGGATTTTTATCGATTTTATCAATCAGAAAAGTTTCCAATTTAGTCCTAATTTGATATCAATGTCTTCTTAGGTGGACGGAGGCCTCGCAGACCTTGCAGGGCGTCTACGACAACCTGACTGGGGATGTGTTGGTGTCTTCGGGAATCATTGCGTACCTAGGTGCTTTCACCTCTGCCTTCAGGGCCGACTGTGGGAAGAACTGGGCCAAGATATGCAAGGTGAAATGTCAATTTATTTTTTGACCAGCTTAGTTATTGTTGGTTTGAAAACTTTTATCTTGGGATAACCATTAGTGATAACCATTATCTAAATACAAACTTTTAGAACATTTTGGAATCACTTTTTTGGTTTGCAATTTCCTTAAAGTTACAAGATGTTGCTGAACTTCAAAAATGGTTGGAACACTTTTGCAAAAGTTACTTAACTACAAAAGTGTCAAGCAATAAAAAGAGTTCATTTCTCAATTCGTTCGATTCAATGGAAAGAGTCCATAATAGCATAATCAATCACTGCTTGATTACTGCTGCAGTATAGCTAGAATAGGCTGTTCAACTCAAGATGTAGATACCGTTTGGGTTCTCTAACACAAAGAAGCAACGAAAAATTGTCGGTTAACTGAGTTTATCAGGCAAGTTATGCTCTTTTAAGGAGAAGAAGATTGCCTGTTCGCCTGTGTTCTCACTCAAGGAGACCCTGGGAGAGCCAATCAAAATCCGTGCCTGGAACATCAATGGGCTCCCAACTGACAACTTCTCCATTGAGAATGGTGTCATCGTCGACAATGCCCGACGATGGTTCGCAGAATTTTTAAAGCTTATTTGTCATAATTACTATCCGAGTCGACTTCAATGTCAAAGATAACATCAATTTGGCATTTCTTAATAAAAATAATATTGCAGTTTTGGTTTTTGATGGAAACAAATTGCCTCACGGAATGCTAGCATATTCCTTCTTTTGTGGCGTTATACTTAAGAAAGGCATACTCACAAAAACAACGTATATTCTTTGATGTTAAATAGGTTTGTATTAATTTTTCGGTTCAGTTTTCGAATTATTGAATTTCCTTTCTGTTCAGGCCTCTGATGATTGACCCTCAAGGTCAAGCTAATAAGTGGGTGAAGAACATGGAGAAAGAGAACAAACTGTCCGTGATCAAACTGACTGACCCCGACTACATGCGCACCCTGGAGAACAGCATTCAGTTCGGCACCCCCGTACTCCTGGAGAATGTCTACGAGGAATTGGACCCGACACTCGAGCCTCTGTTGCTCAAGTCCACTTTCAAACAAAGTAAGCAATCATTGAAACATACCTTGTTCTTGTTCTAGCTTGGACTTTTTTACAGATTGAAGATACTGTAATTGCGAAAAATTTAAAGATTTTAGTTGAATGCCGAAGAAAAAAATTAACACGATTACAATTATAGTAAGATCGAAGAAGTTTTAACTATTAAGTAGCAATAATATTTGGTAGATTCGATTGGTTTTTATGTCAATGTCCTTGGGCATATAATTAAAAAGTTTTACTGATAAGAAAAACTGTAAAAATTGTATTATGCTTGAAACTCAAATTTCACTCGAAATCATAAGTCCGAAAAATTGAGAACAAAATGCTTGCAGACGCTAGTTGCCCAGCCAGTGAATACTGTTGTTTCTAGTTAAATCCTAAATAGGCTTTCCTTCCTGTACGTTGTTTTGAATGTGCCAGTTGATCAATTACCTTAAATGATTTTTCAGGTGGAGTGGAGTGTATCAAACTGGGTGAGAACGTGATTGAGTACTCGAGGGACTTCCGGTTCTACATCACCACTAAGCTGAGGAATCCACACTACCTGCCGGAAGTGGCCGTCAAAGTCACCCTTCTCAACTTCATGATCACACCTGAAGGTCAGATGGGTTCAATTAATTTTTATACTAATTTTTGTTTGTACTTTTGGATTGAATTTATGAATCTACATAAAAGTTTTTAGAAAAGTTACTGCAGATTTAAAGTTTGAAGGCAAGCAAAATTTTTTTGTCAACGTCTTGTTGTTTTATAATTATATTACTACGTATTGTATATTGTTCAAAATATGTCGCTTATTAAGTCAAATTTACGGCTCTTATTTGATGCAGTTTATATAGTAATTAAACAGTAATTTTACTGCACAAAAAGGTTTGAATTTTTGTCATCGTCATCTGCTTTTTCGCTTTGCGATGCAGGTATTTAATTTATTGTCTTTGTCGTGATTTGGTGTCCTGTTTAGTATTGCCTCGGCTGAATTAGACTTATGGAGACGTGGAAATAAGCGAATTCTATTATTGATTTGTTTCGTCATTTCTTTGGTTGACTGAGACGACACCAAAATAAAAAGAACTCGTAAAATCAAAGACATTTGTCCAATTCAAAACGAAACCGCCGTTGAAACGCTAACGAACTTCAGACAACCTTTAATCCGTGAAATCAATTACATGTAAACAAAACAATAAACTGTTTCTTTTTTATTTCATTGCGCATGGTCACAAAAATAACCTGAAAATAAAACTCCTAGATCCACCCTTGCAACAGAATCGAACAGAATTAAATGACCGAACCGAACCGAAATTGAAAGTTTCTGAACCGCCGTTTATCGCCCTGAAATTAGCGAAAAACAATCGCCCATGATGAGGCTAATTTGACAATAAATGAACGAAAAAATACTTCATTCGTTATATCAAGGTGGGGGGGGGGGGGGGGGGGGGGGTGGTCTTAAGCTGCTTTGAGGTGGGAAAAAGAGGCGAAGGAGGAGGTGGTGGTGGTGGTGGGTTTGTAAATATTGAAATGATAAAATCTTTATTTTGATATAATGCTTAGGTCTGGAGGACCAATTGCTGGGCATCGTGGTTGCGAAGGAGCGCCCCGATTACGAAGAAGAAAGACAAGCACTCATTCTGCAGTCGGCTCAGAACAAGAAGACTCTGAAGGAGACAGAGGACAAGATATTGGAGACACTCTCCTCGTCAGAGGGGAACATTCTAGAAGACGAGAGTGCCATTCAGATCTTAGATAGTTCTAAGATACTGTCGGACGAGATATCGAAGAAACAGAAGGTAACAAAAAGCTACTGGATGTCACAAAAAATCTTCTCATCTCATTCTTTTTTAGTGATAAAAGGAGGAAAGCTAAAAAAAATTATAAAGCATGATCCGCTAAAAACATTGTTTTTGATAAAATCATTTGAAAGTTGTTCCAAAATAAGATTTATAGGAGATCTTGAAGCTGTAAAAATCTATGAACTGTTGTATTCTAAGCAGATTTTTTATTTTTCTTCGTGAACTATGTCTGATTGAATATTGGTTATCTACAGTATTTATTATTTGTTTTGTTTCTTCATTTTGTTCTAGGTGGCTGAGGAGACGCAGAAGAAGATAGAGGAGGCGAGGATGGGCTACAGACCCATAGCAGTCCACTCCAGCATCCTCTTCTTCTCCATCGCGGACCTGCCCAATGTGGACCCAATGTACCAGTACTCTCTCAACTGGTTCATCAACCTATTCCTCAACTCCATTCAGGAGAGGTCACTCAAATTCAAATTTCTCTATGTCAGATTAGATATTTTGATCGAGTAACTAGGAATCCATCTCTCTTAAATTTATTTAATGATATTCAACACATGATCGTTGTAACTAATCATGAGGCGACGATTCGTTGTTGCAGTTTACGAACGGCTGGTACTATTTCTTAATCAATGACATCCTGAAATTGGTAGATAAGTTTGTCGAGAAAACAAATTACACTACATGATGATGTGCTTCAAGATACTCCGATGAGTTTTATAAGTATATTTCAATTAATAAATGCTGGTTTTGTGCGAAAAGTTTCAGTTAGTCCAAAATGTACCAGTTCTTATAAGAGTAATGAACGTAGGGGGTACTTTTTTTATAGGTCTTGGTGATTTTAAATTTAAAGAAAAAAGTCTTTAAAATTGTACACTTTTATTTTTTTTGCGGTTTGACATTTGATTTTTTCAACTTCATTTTTAACTTCATTTCCTTTGTTAAAAGAAAGGCAAACTCCACTATCGAACAGCAAAAGTGTAAAGGTCACGAAAAACGTGATCGACTTCTAATTCGAAAATGAAATTTTATTTTCAGAATTCCCAGCGAAATGAAAGTTTTACCTATTGAGTTTTCTCAGATTGGGTTAAAGTTATCAAAAAAGTACAAAATACAATTTTTTCGTTAAATTCAAAGAGCTTTAGGGGCATGTATTTTTTCTTTAAAAAAGTAATGTGAACATTATTTTTAAAAAAACAAGTCAGTTTTTTTTCTTTTTTTTTGCGTTCATTACTCTTTTCCAACTGTCAGTTGGCTATTTTTTTCTATTTTACACGAGTTTGTGCGTGTAGTAACAAGAGCAAGATCCTGGAGAAGCGTCTGAGGTATCTGTCGGACCACTTCACCTACAACCTCTACTGCAACGTCTGCAGGAGTCTCTTCGAGAAGGACAAACTCCTCTTCTCACTCACCTTATGCGCCAACATACTACTGTGAGTACCCTCTTTGCATGCTTCAAACATGGTCACATTCAGCAGCCATAAAAGGACGCCAGATAAAGAACGCCTTTATTGTCACAACTAATTGAGGTCTCTTGTAACAACTAATTGAGTCTCTTGCTCTTTATTGTCACAACTAAACAGAACAGTAGTTTTCAAAGGACTTGCAATTTTTGTCTTAGCTCACCTTAAAAGAAAAATTTGATTTAAAATGGAAGCAAACTTGATCTCAAGAGCGTCTTCATAAGTTTATAGCATATTTATGAAGAAGATCTTGAACGATCTGTTTTGCTCAACCCAAGTTCTGCCCTATAAAAGCAAAAAGAATCATATGTAGTGAAAGCACTTTGAAATTTATAAAAATCGATGACGTAACTGTTATGTAACTCACTGATGTGTTGCAGTGCACGACATGAGTTGAAGCGTGAGGAGTTCATGTTCCTGTTGACTGGAGGTGTGGGACTGGAGAACAAGGAGAAGAATCCAGCACATGAGTGGCTGAGCAAGAAGAGCTGGGACGAGTTCTGCCGATTCACCAAACAGTTCCAGCAGCTAGGACCACTCAAGTTAGCTTGGTGATCATTTGTTTTTTAGGTCAAATTCAAATCGTCATTTTTCAAATTACTATCCCACAAGAGTTGAAGAGATTTATATCCCAATACAAATATCCCAAACATTATAAAGTGTTACTTCGTATTGTAGCCAATACTATTTGATTGTAAAATTTTGTAATCAATCCCAATTGTTCAAAAAATTGTCAATGTAGATGATATTGCATTTAGATGGGTAGATAAGTAGATGTGTTTACTTAAAAATAAACTAAACTGGTTTTAAACTTTCAGGAATCACTTCCTTGACAACACGGATGACTGGAGAAGGATCTACGACAGCAAGGAGCCCCAGAATGCTGAGATGCCGTACCCATTTGAGGAGAAACTGACACCCTTCCAGAAACTCATCATGATACGCATACTGCGATCCGATAAGGTACCACACAGATCAGTCTCTCTATAGAACCATTAAAAACCGAAGTTCATATATGATATTGGCATAATTTTATATCCTACCAAAAAAAATTGAGCAGTTTTTTGAAATCGAGCAATTTTTTTCATATTTGCAGTCTCTCCGATAATGGGCATAAAGATTATATTCAAAAAAGTTTTTTTGCGGAATCCTTCAAGTTTTCAAAACGAACAACAACTTATTTTTTGACCGACTTTCTACCTTGTCTAACGGTTTTTTATAGATTGATTTTTACGACTTTTTGTCTAACAATGTTTGCTTTCAGTTGGTGCCCAAAGTGACCTCATTTGTGTCGGAGAAGCTGGGCAAGAACTTCGTGCAGCCTCCTCCTTTCGACCTGAGCAAGAGCTACGCAGACTCCAACTGTGTCATTCCCCTCGTGTTCATCCTATCTCCTGGAGCAGATCCGATGGCCAGTTAGTATTCTCCCATTTGATCCCATTAGTTTTGAGGCATTTTTGCCTAAGAACCTCTATTTAGGTCAATTTTTCTGAAATGCTTAAACCTAAAATCAGCCTCAAAAAAATCATCCAAATCAATTGAAAATGATCTAATACGAATTGCAAACCTTGAGCAAACAAGCTTGTCCAGAATGCGACTTTGAACCGAGACAACATTTGGAAGAAATTTTCTTCGAAATAAGTGTATTTTTAAAAGTATAATGTAATCGTCCGTGATATCTGGGCGATCTGAACACTTGTTTAAAAAGAAAATTCGAAAACCTAGTCTCTTTCTCCTGGTCTTTCTGTTAGATTTCTCAAGAAAACGAAAAAGTTCTGAGAAAAAATGAAAATTTATGATCATATTTGTTAATCAGTCGAAAAGACTACCTGAAAAGTCTAAATTGTTTCTAATCAAAATGAAAAGGCTTTTCAATGGAAAGTAGTTTCTTAAACAACAAGTTATTTTATAAACAATAAAGATATTTATCTGATTGTTTCCAGGTCTTTTGAAGTTTGCTGGTGACAAAGGCTTCAGTGGTAATAAATTCAACGCCATCTCGCTGGGTCAAGGCCAGGGTCCTATTGCGGCCAAGATGATAGAGCAGGCCAGACAGGACGGTACTTGGGTGGTGTTGCAGAACTGCCATTTGGCTGTGTCCTGGATGACCGCACTGGAGAGGATCTGCGAGGAGTTCAACATTGAGAACACCAATCCGGACTTCAGGTGAACTATCAATGCAAAATTCATCAATGTTAAAAGTTATCTGGCGATTCCGTCCTTGTTTATTTTTCACAAGCAGAGCGTAGTGTGATGCAACTGATTTTTTTTCCAACCTAAGTGGTTTTTTAAACAGTCGATTTTCGCCGATCGAAATAATGTTTTCAACGAAGTTTTTTTATACCCCATTGAAAATATCGACTTCCTGAGTTCAAATTTAAAAAGATATTTTAACTTTGATTATTTTTTGGTAAAGTTCTGGGGGTTGGAAAATTTCCAAATTGGCTATGTTCTGAATGAAAATATGCGCGCTTTGAAGAGTTTATTCATAATGCTGAGAGCTTAACGCGAATTATTTATGCGTGGCGATATATCCCGCGTAACAAAATTTTCCTAATTGAATTGAGGCTAGCTAATTGGTCGTATTCGTTTCGTACTACTCAAAATTTTACAACTTGATGTTGTCCAAAATTTATAGGTGTTCAATATTTTCTTTTCCTAAAAACTATTCGATGTGAATTAAGGGACAGTCGAAACATTCAGGGCTTTGCCCTGATAGACGAGAAGTCTTGTTCGATGCAAAAAAAAATGACACTGGAAAAACTTAAATTTTCTGGTTAATGACAAATCATAAAGAAAAATATAATATAACACAGAATAGGCAAGAAAAATAGCTACAATCCAGTATGACTAGGCAGGGATTTGCTTTCCATGGCAACGAATAACATTTAAAAGTTTGCTTGGAATTGACTTCATTAAATATAACCTCAATTGCGCAGTCACTTCATCTTGGCATTCGATTATTTATCTCCTAAACTATTTGATATTTGTTGGTGATTTCTTTTCCACAGCATTTTTGAGAATGTTTCAAACTAAGTTTGGCTGAGTTTGGCGGCCATTGCAAAGTTTGGTCATGATTGTCCTCCATCCAGTTTTTAGTAAAATTTGACGTGTGTGGGCGAGCACCGTCTTGCTGCAAGATCCAGCCCTCTGGAAAAAGTGCGTCGTACGGAAGAAATTTCCCCAGGATATGACAATACTTAGGTCCATTTATATTTCCTGGGCCATCGACTATTTTAAGATAGAATCCTCGGACTGAAATTGCTCTCCACACCATCACTTTCTTTGGAAATTTGGGAGCTGACTTTGTTATTTTTTTGCCATTTTTTAAATACCAGACTGTGCGTTTGTTTCTGTGCATCTGGAATATGCTTTCATCGGTTATCCGAACATCCTCAAAGCCATAATTTTTCCAATTTTATGCAAAAATGATTCGTTTTTCTTTATAGGTGATGGTTATTTGCAAGGTTTTTCTCGGGATTTTCTTCAAAATGTTACTTATTTTTAATGTACGCTGAACCGTGGTTTTGTGTACATTTATGCCATCCTTGGTGTTAGTTTTAGCGAAATTTTCTGGGCAGAAAAATACGGATTTCTTAAAGCTATTGAGGCAGTTTTTTAAACAAATTACCAGCTAATTTTCGAGGTCTTCCACTTCCCTTTTTTCGATCAAGGATTTTTCCTTCACGTATCTTTTTTAATTTTTGGTAGTAGGTGGACCTTGATATTTGCAAAGAATTGTACAAAAATTAACCGTTGTTTGTTGCTGACATAGCTAATTCTTGAGGTCAATGTTTAAAATTTTGAGTTAGACAACAGTTTACCGCATGTGCAACAGTTTACCGCATGTAGCGTGAACAGATATCAGAATTATCCCGCCATTTTTTATATAATATGCAAGCGAAGGAATAGTTGAACATTTCATATAAAGCAATTGCTCTACCACAATCAACGGGAAAGGAGCTAGAGGATTTTTAAAAATGTAATTAAAGTGTCAAGTTTTTTTGCATCCAACAATATTTCAAATTACTCAATGCAAAATTTGTGTTATTCTGCATTTTAAAGCTCTATCCAAATTTTTTGTCGCTTTCTATCTTGTGCTTTCTAAGCTGCAGCTTCCCTTCTATGTAAAGGAGTAATGTTTGATGTTTTTATGTCATCAACTTCTAGAGTTGCTTGATTACAAAGTCATGCCTCGCGTACTTTAAATGAAAAGTCTTCAGATGGCCTAACTGAACGTTTTCTCTGTTTTTGAATTACATACGAGATCTCAAATTATTAGCGAAAATTGATTTTATCTCAATGGTTTTATCTCTCAAGCTAAAATAGAAAAGTCCTTAAGCTGTTTTATCTCTCAACGTCAATGGTTTTATCTTTCAAGGTAAAATAGAAAAGTTCTTAAGCGAGGAAATCAGAATTTGCAAAATTTGACCCCTCAATAATAAAGTTTTTAAATACCATTGAAAAATTGAAGCTTGATGATTATATTCATAATAAAAAAGGTTCTTTTTTATAGGTTTTGTTTACAATGTTATTTTGGCAGTTGGTTCTTTTTAAAAAATGCTTGTTGCTTCTGAAATTTAATGACCTTTTTCTATTGTAAAATTTTGCTTTAAGTTTTTGGAATTTTTCCTCGTCTGATTAAGTTTAGTTTGAAAAATTCACTGGCAAGAACTTGTTAAATTGAAGGAACGCTCTCACACGCTTTTTTGAACCAGGTTTTACAGCCTTCAGTGACCTTTCAAGCTTGGTAAATGATGAAATATGCTAAATTATCATTGTAACGAACCGTCGTTAGAGAAATTTATTGTTCATTGGTTTATCCCTATATCCTATATTCATTCGTTATAATTTATTTACACCAGCGAATTTTAGTGCGTGTTAATGGCATATCGACTATTCTTTTTTTCTAACCTAAGCCGCAAAAATTGCTACCGCTTTTAGGGCATCTTTACGGCTTTTTGATAGCATGTGCTTTGACTTTCGAATAGTATTACAGTTGATAAATTTTACATTCATCATTTGAACCGAAAAAAAAAGCTTTTTGTTTCAAACAACATAACAATAATAAAAACTAGATTTCAGAAATTTTCTAATTTAGTAATTGCAATTTTTTGAAATACATAATTTATACAAAATGTGCCTTTATGCTCTCCAATTTTTTACATGCATAATTAGTGTGGATGGCTTCAGTTTGTTATTTTCCAAACTAATACTTACAAAATTGTATCAATTTGTATTTGGTGCCACTTTTGCTGCATGGCATTTTTTTATTACCATTGAAAAATCGAAGCTTGATGATTATATTCATAATTAAAAAAATAATTATTATCGCATTGGCAATTTGTTAGCATATGTAGCTGTTTTTTTTGGGATAAGTTTTATCGGTTTGTTAAGAGATCTTTGGCGAGAGGGAAGGGCGTGTGTCTCCAATTCTGGAGGTCGCAGGTTCGAAGCCCATACGTAGCAAATTTTTTCTAATTCGAGGCTTATTTCTATCTTTTCTTATTTCACTTTATAAAACTGCTTTTTTGTCGTGTTCTCGTTAGTGTTTGCGAAGTGCAGCTTCGCCGCTGTGTTTATCATTGAATTATCTTATATTGTAAAACAGTATACTTATATTGCAATACGTGTAAACATATTTTAAAGGACCCCTCTGTTCTATTTTTAGACTGTGGCTGACTAGTTACCCCTCCCCTAAGTTCCCAGTGACTGTGCTGCAGAACAGTGTGAAGATGACTAATGAGCCCCCCACCGGACTGAGACAGAACTTACTCCAGTCCTTCCTCGCTGACCCCATTAGTGACCCAGAATTCTTCGCCGGCTGTCCTGAAAAGGAGGATGTGAGTAAAAGTGTTTCTTTTTGCTAGAATTATTCGAATGGTTGTCGAAAATCAAAATGGCGTGATTTCAAAGTTCCCTCACTGCAAACTCCTTACATATGAGCAAAAATTATGTTAATTTTTCGAAAAAAAGTGGTAAAAAGGAAAAACAATATTTTTTACCCCATGAAAAAGTACTAGTACTAAGTTTTTTTTGGTTGTAATTATAATTCTTGTTTGATTAAGTGCTGCTAATAATGCTGTCTCGAATGAAAAAAGAACTTCACTGATTTATGTTTTATCCTATATGACGTGAATTTCAGCAATGGGAGAAGCTGTTGTTCAGTCTTTGTTTCTTCCATGCTATTGTTCAAGAGAGGAGGAAGTTCGGACCCCTCGGGTGGAACATTGCCTACGGGTTCAATGAGTCAGACATGCGCATATCTGTCAGACAGCTGCAGGTAACAACGCAGAGCTTCTGTTGATATTTTGTACAGCAAAATATTTTTTGTTTTACTAATATAATCTAGTAATACAAGCTGGTTAAAGTATGAAAATACCGCCCTTCAGATGGCGTATTTTAGTAAACTACTGTCCAAAATTTCCAAAAGTCGCTGATCGTTTGTGGCATACTTTGAATAGTTTTTCTGCAGGGGTAAACGCTAAAGATTTATTGATAAATCAACCCGTCTTTCATAAAAAATATGTTTTTTTTGTCCACTGTAGATGTTCCTGAATGAGTACGACGAAGTGCAGTGGGCGGCCATAGCGTACCTGGTGGGAGAATGTAATTACGGGGGGAGGGTGACTGACGACAGAGACAGACGGTGTCTCACCTCCATCCTGGACGACTACATAAACCCACTGGTCATCACAGACCCCAAACACAAGTTCAGTGGATCCAACAACTACCCAGTCCCTCCCAAAGGAGAGTACGACGACTACATCGCATTCATCAAGGTCACTACTATATTTCAATTATTTATTAATTTCATAAATTAAAGATTTAGTGAAATTTTAGAGGCGAAATTTCAAGGCGATCCCGTAAACTGATGAGCAAAAAACCGCCCTTAATGTTTGGCTAATATAACTTTTAAAAAGAAAGTTATGTGGATGATATTTATAGGTTCTTATAGCTGCTTCGTTAGATCTTGTCAATAAAACTTCCGTTCAAAGATCTTTTTATGCTTTGTAACTATAAAGTCTTATTCCAATGAAAAGTTCGCTAAAAATGAATACAAAAAGATACAGTTCTATAGAAATTCAATTTGCTTGCAGGGTTTGCCGCAGACGCAGCTGCCGGACATATTCGGGATGCACGACAACGTGGACATCGCGAGGGAGCTACAGGAGACTAAACTGCTGTTCGACAGTGTCCTCCTCACCCAGGGCGGGTCCAGTGGAGGGGCAGATCCAGAGGCAGAGCGGAAACTGCTGGAGACAGTCCAAAGTGTATATGATAAAGTATGTCAGAGTGTCAGATATGCGTGAAAATATTCATTGTCTTACTCTTAACTATACTTTTTCGATGTACACCTCAAATTTATGAAAAAAAACTTGAGAAAGTTGAGTTTTACTTTTTGAATAAGCAACCTACCTAACACACTGCAAAAAAAATCTTGAATTATCTTTCTTACTTCTGATGGAACAAAAAGTTTTGGAAGCTCATTTTTGTTTCAGCTGCCGCCTGAGTTTGACCTTGAGCAGGCCTCCAAGAAGTACCCTGTCACTTATGCAGAAAGTATGAACACTGTACTCGTGCAGGAGATGGAGAGATTCAACAAGTGAGTATTCCAAACTGATTTTCAATCAAAAATTCAGTTTATAGTGTCCAAAAACCTTCTATTCTCATAATAGTTTTGGTGAATCGAACAAATGCTCGGAAAAGAAGAGGTTTTTGCTGTCACTATTTACCGCTTGAAGTCGACCTTCAAAACACTAGGTTTTATGCATGAGCGCAGTAATGGTTTAAAATGATCTTTTCACTTCTCATTTTAGACAATTTTTGCGTTGATTTTGATTCTGATTTGAATTTAAAAAATAAACATTTATTTTTCAGTTTGACGAAGGTGATCAAGAGTACCCTGACCAATCTGCAGAAGGCGGTGAAGGGACTGGTGGTGATGAATGCTGACTTGGAGACGGTGTCTCAGAGTCTCATGATCAACAAAGTGCCAGCCATCTGGGCCAAGAAGTCCTATCCTTCCCTCAAGCCACTGGCTGGATACATAGAGGACCTAGTTAAGAGACTTGAGTTCTTGCAGGTATGTTTCTCAATGGGTATATATCATCATTTTTGAGATAAATTTTTTTGTCGAAAGGACTATTTAAGCTTCCTTATTGCCGTATCTTAGCTTCCAAAACTGTCCGTGGACCAATTTAACGCCCTCCACTTTCTTGTAGGGTGAAGATGTTAACTGGAGTGAAGATGTTAACTTGATTCGTGTCCGTTTTCAGTGAAATACATAAATGAAAAAAAATTATGATTACTTGAACTAGTTAATCATTGTTTTTTTTAAAAAACGAAATGAGTTATACTAATCAAAAGACATTTTCCTAGGAGTGGTATGAGAAGGGTAAGCCGCATACTTTCTGGCTGTCTGGCTTCTTCTTCACCCAGGCCTTCCTCACTGGCTCCATGCAGAACTACGCCAGGAAATATGTCATACCCATCGACGCACTCACCTACGCATTCAAAGTCAGAGCAAGAGCTTATAATAATAATAAATAAATAAATTTGTTTCAAGTAGTGCAATAATCCAATAATATAGAGAACTTATCATTGATAGAGCACCAACTTGAGCAAGCGCAGAAGGTAATTCAACCTGTTGAAGCGCCGCTGAGAACTTTCTATTAAGTACTGTCTTATATGGACCTGATTCTTTAATCTAAGTAACATTTATACTGGAAAAAAATTTAATGGACTTATAGAGAAAAAAAAAAAAATAAATTTCAAAATCTTACAGTTCCTTTATTATGCATCTAATTGATATAATTTTACAGTAGTCATTACAAGCAAAGAAAAGTAGCAAAAAAAAACAATTTTCAGACTTGAAAATTATATTTTTCATTATTTGCTTTATTTCAGTTAGTACGATGTTTTTTTGGGTGTTCGCTTTATATTTCAGTTATTAAAAAACAAAAACTACTCAAAACTTTTTACCAAAACAGTTTGTTGAAGTAGTCGCAATAAATTAAATAAGTATCTCTGATTTTATGCATAAGATTGTCTATAGACTGGTTAGGCTCGATTAAAATTTCTTTTTTGATATTCATATTCAAATTAATTAGAGAATTATATAGCGTCCGTATTAGCACAGATATTAATTTTTTGTTATTTCGCGTTAATTTTTTTGTTAGTGATTTTATTCTTTTAGTGGTATCGAGTGATTTGTCTAATTCTTGTTTTGAAATGAAATTACTCACGTTGTCATTTTCACAATGACAATATGTAGTTAAAACCTTGTTTCAGATCACCATCATAGCCACTCAGATAGTTTCTATTCTGTTTCAGCTTCTGTAGTAAAAACATTTTAACAGTAAAAAAATATTACCATTAAAAAAGTTTCGCTAAATTTGGGTATCTAATTTTAAGTACAGAGTCTGTACTAAACTATGGATCCCAAAATTGAGCAGTAATCTTTTTCAAGGGTCCTCATTTTTGTTTGTAACCTGATGGGCTGCTACATGGGATAGCACCATTTTTTTTTTCACAAGCCCACGTATCTTGCTCATTGTACTCAATCATGCTTTGTAATGGCTGGAAATCTGTTTCAAGTAGTGCAATAATCCAATAATATAGAGAACTTATCATTGATAGAGCACCAACTTGAGCAAGCGCAGAAGGTAATTCAACCTGTTGAAGCGCCGCTGAGAACTTTTTATTAAGTACTGTCTTATATGGACCTGATTCTTTACTCTAAATTTTATTTATACTGAAAAAAATTTAAATGACTTATAGAAAAAAAAATTAACAAATTTCAAAATCTTACAGTTCCTTTATCATGCATCTAATTGATATATTTGTACAGTAGTTTTTACAAGCAAAGAAAAGTAGCAGAAAAAAAAACAATTTTTAGACGTGAAAATTATGTTTTTTTTTATTTGCTTTATTTCAGTTAGTACGATGTTTTTTGGGTTTTCGCTTTATAGTTCAGTTATTAAAAAACAAAAACTACTCAAAAATGTTTTACCAAAACAATTTGTTGAAGTAGTCGCGATGAATTAAATAAGTATCTCTGATTTTATGCATGAGATTGTCTATAGACTGGTTAGGCTCGATTAAAATTTCTTTATTGATATTCATATTGAAATTAATTAGAGAATTATATAGTGTCCTGTCCGTATTCGCACAGATTTTAATTTTTGTCATTTCGCGTTAATTTTTTTTAAGTGATTTTATTCTTCTGGCGGTATCGAGTGATTTGTCTAATTCTTGTTTTGAAATGAAATTATTCACGTTGTCATTTTCACAATGACAATATGTGGTTAAAACCTTGTTTCAGAACATCATCATAGCCACTCAGATGGTTTCTGTTCTATTTCAGCTTCTCTAGTAAAAACATTTTAACATTAAAAAAATATTACCATTAAAAAACTTGCTAAATTTGGGCATCTAACTTTAAGTACAGAGTCTGTACTAAACTATGGATACCAAAATTGAGCAATTATCTTATTTCAAGGGTTCTCATTTTTTTTTGTAACCTGATGGGCTGCTACATGGGACAGCACCATCTTTTTTCACAAGCCCTCGTATCTTGGGCAATGTACTCAATCATGCTTAGTAATGACTGGAAATCTGGTTTTAGTTGCTTCGGGAGGACAGCATGGACTCCAGTCCCGAAGACGGAGTTTATGTTAACGGAGTATTCCTAGACGGCTGCCGATGGAACAGAGACAGGTTAGTTGAGAAAAATTGAGTCCATTGAACTTCTACAGTTACGTTGTTTCCGTAGTGTATTCAATGAAGTTTATTAGTAAGGAAGTTTTTCTCAAAATTCGTATGTTCCGATGTTATTGTTCATCAAGACGAGTTCTTGTTATTTCATCATTATGGCTTTTTAGTCTTCGAAATCAAGAATTCTTAGTAATCGAAATTATAATTTAGCTTACACGTTAATTGATAGTTTTTTGACAAGAATAAATATCTCCCATCACACGTTAAAACGCAAATTTTCAAATGAAAATGTACATTAAGAGAGGATCGAAGGGGACAGGAACGAGAGCTTTCATCTACAAAACTCAAGAAAAATGTTTGTTTTAGGGGAGTTCTTGCCGAATCACATCCCAAAGTCCTATTCGACCCCATGCCAGTTATTCAAGTGACCCCAATTAAGATATCGGACGCGAGCGACAGTCTGGTCTACGAGTGTCCCCTTTACAAGACCTCGGAGCGAAAGGGAACACTCTCAACTACTGGACACTCAACCAATTTCGTCTTAACGATCAAACTGCCAACTGATAAGCAGCCTGCACACTGGATCAAACGAGGAGTGGCTTTACTGTGCCAGTTGGACGACTAGTTTTTTAATCAAAAAGTCGAACGACTTTCAGCCGAATTTCCAACAATTGGCTAACTAGCCGAAACTGTGTTTTTATCATAACTATTCTATGATTCTGAATCGCAAAAAAAAGTATTTTTTTTAAAATAATGTTTGAGTTGCTTCAACTTACCGTGTACAGTTTTTGTAGAAAATATATAATATGTTCATTAGTGTGTATATTTGTATAAAGAATTCAGTTTGAAACTATCTATCATTTTTCGAAACTATCTGTCATTTTAATTTGCGTTATACTGAATTCTGTTGTTCTGATTTTCGAAGAAAGTGACGAAATAGTTGTGCTGTTTTTTCCGACCATTTCCAAATTTTTAAGTCACTTTCGAGCTTAATTTTTATATTATCTTAAAGGCATTGACGCATTTAGCTTAAGTTTTATAAGTTATTTAAGCTGTGATTAAGAGTCGATGAACGTAGTTGTGCGCTCAATCTCCGTAAATCAACAAATATGAAGGATCCAGAAGTTTAAATTAATGAGAGCATTTATCGGCAAAATCTCATCATAATCTCCGTCGAGCATAAACATCGTATAACTTCAATAATATTCGTCACCAATTCACAGCTTCAATAACAAATTGGCGCAAGCTAGCCGCAAGAACCGGTCGGTAATGTCCTTGAGACAAATAGCTCTTTTTTAGCGGTCAGCCTTAATCAAGACTGAACCGAATTAGAATCAAAAAACAGTTAAAATAGGATATAACCCCCTTTTTTAGTATATTAATACATGGGCAGGTGGGGGACTCGAACCTACGTCAACTGTCGAGTCTATATAGTGGGATTTATTGTAGCTTAGGCCACTCGGCCAACTGTGCTCATTTAATATGCATTTATATTTATATGCATTTGTACTCTCGCTTACATTTGCGCTCCAACATCCTCCACCCCTAAACAAGGAAGAACGGGAGCGAGCTTTACGGTCGGGCGGGTCAGTTCGCTCGTAACGGTCTTTATGTCGGCGAATCTCGCGCATCCGTTCTTGCCATAGTGCAGTCTTAGGACACGTGCGAGTGGATAATGTCCACGTGGAGTGTCAGGCTCTATGACCCAAACCAAGTTGCCGGCTTTCAACTTAACATCTGACTGGTTGTGCCACTTTGCCCTCCTATTGAGGGAAGGAATGTATTCCGCATCCACCGTGTCCATATTGCGTTAGCGTATGATTGCGCTCTGGCGAACCGCTTCTTATGGTCGAAGTTTTCTTTGAAACTTAGCGACGGAAAACTCGCTGCGTGTTGACCAAGGATAAAATGATTCGGGATCAACGCCTCTAGATCTAGCGGAATGAAACTAACGGCTGTTATCGGTCTAGCGTTAAGTGATTGCTCAACAAGGCACAGCGTGGTTCTTAGAATCTCCTCAGTTACTCTCCTGTTGCCTAGGATGTCATACAAAACGCGCTTGACACTCCGAACTAATCGCTCCCAGGAGCCACCATGGTGCGGTGCGCTGGGTGGATACAATTTCCACTTGATCCTTTTCTGAACAAAAACAGCGGGTGCGAGCTTGTTCCAACTCTCAACGCTTGTTCCAACTCTCTTTCTGAGCGCCAACAAAGTTCCTGCCGTTGTCGGACATGATGGTAGTCGGAGTACCGCGACGTGCAATAAACCTCTCCACGCCCATCACACAAGAGCTTGTGTCGAGCGAGGGGGCCACTTCAATGTGCACCGCTCTAGTGGTGAGACAATTGAACAAAAAACCCCACCTCTTTTCCGTACTTCTCCGGATTGAAACTAGGAACGGCCCAAAGTAGTCGACACCTGTGTTAGAGAAAGGAGGTTGCTTGTAACCCAGCCTTTCAATGGGCAGATCAGCCATCATATGAATTACGGTTTGCGCTTTGTGTTTTCGGCACACAACGCAAATTTTTTCAATGATTCGCAGCAACCATCGCAAATTTAACACAACGTATTTCAAGTTAACCACCGCACGCATGTAATCCAAGCCTTAATGGAAATTCCTTCCGTGCAAGTGTTTAACCAATAACCGAACAACCGCGTGACGTGCATCAAGTATAATCGGATGCTTGCTATCGAAATCGGTATTAACCGAGCGGCTGATGCGTCCAGTCGAGCGAAGGATGCCAGCTGGTCCAATGAACGGCGAATACTTGGCGATCCGACTATTCTTCGTGATAACTTTACCGGATCTTAGTAGTTTTAGCTCACTAGGGAATGTTTCACCCTGGGACAGGTAAATGAGCTTCTGTTCAGCAATATTCATTTGAAACGGGTCTGTAATTTCTAATATACTCGACCAGAAATGTTTATGGGATGGCAGCCATCTTAAGAAAAATGCTACTGTTTGTTTTTATTTTACCATTGAATTGAATCTCTCCCATTTTTCGAATGGAATAATTTTCTCTGTCAAAACATCGACGACGAAATTTGACGAATCTTCAGACAAATGTCGATATCACATGAAGGTCCTTTGAGTCTTATTTTATCAATAACCCTTGTATCGGGCTTGTACGGCCATTCAGTCGTCCTCAGTATACTAGGGCCATTAACCCAGCTGCTTTCCTTGAGGGCTTCCGAAGAAATCCCTCGTGTACCGGTATCAGCTGGGTTATCACCGCTAAGTATGTGATGCCACTGATCAGTGGTGGTAGACTCCAGAATCTCACCAGTGCGATTACCAACAAAAACGGGTAGTTTATTACAGGAGTTAAGCCACTGAAGAACAGTGGTACTATCTGTCCACATGAAAATATCCGAAAGACCTTTCAAAATTTCTTCTTTTAAGCGGGTTGCAAGAAGAGCTGCTTGAAATTCTAACTTTGGAATAGATAGCGCTTTCATAGGCGCAACGCGGGCTTTACCAAACACAAAGGCTAATTCGGTCTGATGCGAGCTAGCAAGTCGCGCACGAAGGAAAGCGACGGCACATAAAACATCCTGCGAACTATCACCGAAAATGTGAAGTTCTATTCGGTCGAAAGGGTCAGTGAAATAGCTGCGAGGTATTGTCAGAGAAGCTAACAAATGAAGACCTGAGTGCCACTCTAGGAACTGCTTTTTGATTTCCTCTGGCAGATCATCGTCCCATTTTAACCACTGATTCGCCAGATATCTTTTAATAGAAGGCGAGCCATCACGGTATACGGAGCCACTAACCCAATTGGATCAAAAACAGAGGAAACAAAACTCAACACGGTACGCTGAGTGATTGCTTCGTCTAGTGGACGATCAACCCCTCTACTAACGACTAAGGTATCTTTTACGTGATCCCACTTAAGACCGAGAACATGCGACGACTGGTCTGGACTCGCACAAATATCTTTAACAGAGGAATTGGACTCACGGTTGTCCGGATCAAGAGCGGTTGTTACGTCGGGCACGTTGCTGACAAATTTAATCAGATAAAACCCACCTACTTTAAGCAACGAGACTAAATCGTTACCTAATTTGAAGGCTTCATTCCTGTTTTGAAAAGAATCCAGATAATCATCCATATAAAATTTCTCGACAACAGCCGAAGCAGCTTCGGGGTACTCAGCTTGATTATCCGATGCAGTCTTCTGCAAAGCAAAATTCGCACAAGTCGGCGAGTCACGAGCACCAAAAATGTGACGCGTATATTGGTGAACTACCACACTTGATGTGGGTCCTCCCGCCACAAAAAAAGAAGAGAAGGTTGATCTTCTTCACGGACTCCAACCTGTAAAAACATTCCTTCAATGTCAGCTGAAACGGCGTATTTATGCCGACGGAATCTCAAAAGTACAAAAATGAGGTTTTGAAGGAGATCCGGGCCAACCAACAGAGATTTGTTCAAGGAAGCGCCATGACACTTCGATGCCTCATTGAGGACTCGGCGCATCTTACCGGGTTTATTCGGGTTCAATACCGGGTGATGCAGGAGATACCACTCACGATCGGCTCGCGATTCGGAATCGTGTGCCTTAACGGTTATGACATATCCTTTTTGTATATCTTCTCTAATTGTTTCGGCGTATTTTTCACGGAGCGATGGATCCTTATCTAGCCTCTTTTCCAAAGACTTTAATTGAGCTAAAGATGAAAAATAGTTATTCGGTAAAGTACTTTCTTTATCGTTCCAAAGCATTGGTACAATGTACCTCTCACCATCGTGAAAGGTGTCATTTTTCAAAACGGACAAAGCGCGTTTGTCGGCGGCGGAACGGGCATCTACCTGCTTGAAGGCTCCATATGACTCCAACTCATACCAAGTTTTAATTTGGTCTACAAGAGTCATGTCTTCGACAACACACTTAAAGCAAGACGAGTTCGACTTAAACGATGGTGGTAACGGACCACTTAAAACCCAACCTATCGGAAGGCGTACGGCGCACGGTGAAATAGAGTCCTCCCCCAGAAGGTACTCAATGGGTCTTATGGCATGGTAGAAATCCTGTCCAATAACTATTTCGACGTCCTCATACTTATAATGTATAGGTTTGATCGGAGCCAACTGCGGGTATTTTTCCTGTAATTCAGGAATACTTATGCTATCCGATCCAATGCGAATATGATCCTTAACATAAGCTCGAAAAGAAAACGAAAATTCACTATTATTCGTTTCGGCGGAAACTTGAAAACTTACTTGATGAGTTTTCATCAAGCTCGTGGAATTGAATCCATTTATGGTGAGGTTAACGAGAGTGCCAACCAAATGGAGGCGTTTTACGAGATCGGCGGATACCCATGAGTGCGTGGAAGCACTATCGCAAAGAGCTAGGGCATTAGTAATCGTCGCATCCAAAGAGACGGCGAGGGATGCAAATGGCAGGAGGCCTTTAGTTGACTCCTGGCTATGAAAATCGCCGACGGCAGCGTTAGTCGATACATGTTTAGTGTTTGCGTTACTTGACGCCGGGGAAATTTTAGTATCCTTAGGAGGAAAAATGTTCTCAGCTCCATGTAAGAGCACGTTGTGCGTGCTTTCACAATCTGGCTTGAGGCACTTTCATGCCTTGCTACAATTACGAAAACTGTGATTGCTCTGTAAACACGCAAAGCAAAGTTTTTGTTCGGCTACATGTTTCGCTCGTTGCGTAGCGTTTTTCTCTTTGAATACGGCGCAATTCCAAAGAGCATGGTGACCTTTACATACAGAACATGGAGGGAGTTTTGGTTTTTCCTTAGTCTTATCACTTGCCTTTGCGTTACTAGCAAACAATTTTGTACCTACTTTCCGCTTCACTGGTTCTTCAGACTTACTTTTAGAATTA